AGAACCTGCAGATTGCAAGTCAAGTGCTTAACCCCTGAGCCAACGACGCTCTTCTCTCCATTATTAATTGATAGTTATTATTAAAGTAATCCAGGTTACACGACGCTGGACGACTTTTAATTCGTCATAGTCATCGAAATTAGGCAATTATTATGACTGTGGAAACCGAATGTTATTTTTACAAATTAGTAGCGAGTTAGCAATCATTGTCATGTACTTATTATATAAAATTCATTCACCTCTGACCCTCAGGGTTGCGTAGATATGCAGGCTTACTACCATTCCGTGCGTTTGATACATTTATCTCGCTACATCCGGCCTCTCATTCAAATTATTATATTATTATGACGTAGTTATTTGTAACTAGCTGTCGCCCGCGATATCGTCTACGTAGAATTAAAAAAATGTTTAATTTATTGCCGCGCGCGTCAGTAACCTTCCTATAAAGTCAAGTCAAAATCGGTCCAGCCGTTTCAAAGATTACCCGGAACAAACGTAGCTTTGAGAACAGACAGACAAAAATTAAAAAATTGGTTATTCGTTATCAGCACCGCAAATACATTATGTGTACGAAGTGATTTTTTCCATGTTACATACAAGCACTGCAATTTTATTAATACTTATGTATAGATTATCAAATGTTTTATCGTCTTCATATAAAATAACAGGCTTCAGATTTTTTATTTCATTTAAATTAACGGATAAAAATTGTCCAAAAACCAGGTGTTAAGATACGAAAAAAAAACGATCACTTGCAAAGCAATTGATACTGAAGAGAAATTCATATCGTAAAGAAAATAATGCATTTATATTTAGTTGCATTTCAATGGTCAGCTTAATAGGATAAGGGCACATGATGCAATGAAGTTCAATGAACAGTAACTGAAGGTTAAATATTATCAATACGCAAATTAAATAAACAAATAAATGGAATAAATTAAAAAAAAAATCTTATTCGCACTTTTTAACTACTGTCATTTGTTATTTTTGACTGAAAAAAGGCTATCTAAATCGAAGATACACTTTAACAAGGTACTGTGTCAAGATCAATAACCAAACGATACTTTGATAACAGTGTGACCAACCTATAGTTAACTTCAGTTTACAATCGGGCCAGTTCCTTTGGGTATCCGGACAGTAACAACGATACTTTTGTTTTCAGGGACCACTATTACTATTGTTGGTATGCGTGGGCGCAGCGTCTTGCGCGCGACCTTGCTGCTCCAACCAAGAGACAATCAAACGAGGAGGCTACTGCGGCGGCACAGAGAAGATCGCATTAAACTGTTCCAGTGGCCGCATGGTCCTTTGGGACATTATCCTTCAAAATGATAAAGTCAGCACCAAAGATTCGCCAGGGTTTATCTTTGCTGAAAATACTGACCAGTAAGTGTAATGCAATGATTTAATTATTATAATCCAAGAATCCATATTAAAAGACAGCTTATCTAGGAGTTTTTAATTAAGAAGACGAAAACATAGCATCGGTAAAAATTTTACATTCGTCCAAAGAGGTTATAGTTGTCATTAAATTATAATACTTATGAAGAAAGGTATAATCGTAAATTACCATTATATTTTGTAATTTTCAGATACTGCATTGGTACAATGGACCGTAACTCCAGTATACCAAGCATGCGCAATCTGTCAGTTGCGATCGTTTGCTTTGAGAGAGTGAGCCAATCAAACAACATAGAAACTGGGGGGATTTTAACCATCATCTCTGTCTTTTTTCTGGCGGCCACCTTTGCTGTCTACATGTATTTACCGCAAATGAGGTATGTATAACTTTAAAGCACAAAAGTTAAAATGAAGGCAGTCAATTATGTTTACCAGACAACTATGAAAAAAAAAGCCTAAACAAACTTAAGTGGGTATGAAACAAGGTACCGCCAACATAATGTACACACTACAAATTCCAGGGACCTGCAAGGATTGTGCTACATGTGTATGTGCGTAAGCATGGCTCTGGGCTTCCTCTCCCTGGGCGTGCTGCAACTCAGCCCACATTTCGCCGGCGATATATGCACCGTTGCAGGTAATTGCATCATATTCCAATCATTTTAAAAAGAAACAAAGGAAACATGTATTTAATCATTAAGTGATGATCCAAAATCTCAAGCAATTTGAATGAAAATTACGTCTTCAATATTAAGCTGTTTGAACCCCATAATGTGGGTAAACATTTGTTTTACCACATTATGGGTTATAATTGCAATTGGGTTATATTATAAGTTTATAATTGCAGTTATTAAATATGATATTATTTTTCGTTCTTAAGGTTTCCTGGTTTACTTCTGGATGATGGCAACATTCTTTTGGATGAACGTCATCAGCATAAACATGTATCGCAGCGTTCAGTAAGTATTATTCATATTAACTTTCCTAAATCATACCTAAAACATAAATCTTGTACTTATAAAGCGCGAATTTCAATTGAAACATATCTCACTATTATAATCTTACTAAGATTATGAATGTTTGGATGTATAGATGTTTCTTTGAAGATATCTCCAGAACGGCGGCATAGATCTCGATGAAATTTGGCATAGATATACAACAGTCTGGTAGACCACATAGGCAAATATTTTTTAATACCACGCGGAGAGAGTAGCAGGCGTCAGCTAGTCACTGATAAAACTAAGAACAATATGGGTCTACAAGATAATAGTTTGGGAATCTGTAAAGATTTATATTTGCAGAGATGCAGCGTACTTGAAGAAGACTGAGAGAAAGCAGTATTTTTGGTATAGCTGCTATGCTTGGGGCTGCACGCTCATGTTCCTGGCTGTGTCCCTCATCACAAACTTCGCGGAGGGAGACCACTGGAAGCCGGGCATTGGCAACAACAGCTGCTGGTTCCAGGGTAAGACAGATAAAGAAAATTACGACTCCTTTATTTAATTATTCGAATCGGGCAACAATGAAAAATAATCATTTTTTATTCCAGGTCGTACTGAAACATGGATATTCTTTTACGGACCGATCGCGGTTCTCATTGCGGCCAATATTATACTCTTTGTTATTTCATCTTTCAACTTATGGATGCAACAAAATAGGAAGTACGAAGTCAGCAAATTGAACAATCTTAAGCACAAGTAAGAAAATGTAAATTATTTATTGTACGTCCGCGTAACTTCGTCCTTAAAGATTTTATCGAAATATGTCGAGTATAAGATAATTAAACAGCAACGATGATAATATTAGAAGGTAATTTAAGAATAATCAGTTAAAAATTGCGTAACTATTGCACAATTGTTCCAAGTTCGTGAGACTGAAATCGCTATCGAATTTACGCACCGTACGGACAAATTGCAAAACTTTTATTTCTGTCTACAAACGATGTAAACATTTTCAGATTTCTGGTGTCTCTGAAGCTGTTCCTAGTTATGGGGATCTCTTGGACGTTTGAAATCGCTAGTTTTGCTCACGGCGAAGCGCATATCATTTGGTAATTATTAATATTCACTGTTTAATATATGATGCATAAAGTATTTAAAGCAAAGAATGGACAAGTAATGGCTACTTTTACGACTTTTCTTAAAAAAAACAACAGAAAACTAGAAAACAGAAAGTTTAAGATACTAAAATATACTTGATTTTTTTTCAGGAAAATAATGGACATATTCAATTGTCTGCAAGGAGTTGTTATATTCTTAATTCTGGTGGTACTACGAAGGAGAGCGATGCAAGGCTTAGCCAACGAGCACTGCTGTCTGTTCATTACACGACCGCTTGCTGAAAAACTGAGTCCACACGACGACGCGGATGATCAGGAAATATTGGCCGACGATACGGTTGAAGTCAGGCTTAACTAACGAATTAATATATCGCCTTTTTACTAAGTCATTTTATATAATACATTTGATATAGATAGTTCAACTTAAATTGGCGCGTTTTCATTCTCAGCCGTAACTCTAGTGCTTTAGTTGCTGTCAAGAGGGTTGAACAAAAGGCAAAGGACGTTTAGCACATGCCAAGATAGGTCGAACTAACTATATACATATGTGTGTTAAGGTAGGTTTCCATTGCCGAAACACTCAAACAATATTGCCATCCCTCTAATTCTCTGTGAGATATTCTGATGATATTTTTTTACGGATCTTACGGTAGTGGATGCCCACAATTATAATTAGTTACTAAAAATAAGTAAACAGTTTATTTAAGTGTAATGTTTTTCGTTAAAGAAATAACTATATATAAAATCTCATTGCTTTCATGAAAACTTCTAATGAATAACAATTTGTTATTAACAATCAAGATACAGATATTTTAGAAATATTAACTATTTTATATAAACTATAATTCTTAATTTATAAGTTTTATTATCGGATACTCGATTAATGTGACCGGTAGGAATCTCTATGATTATAACTTCGAAGTTAATTTTAATACTACACCGCCGAGTAAATGTTTGTAACCTTACCTGCATGGCAAGTCATGTCCTTAACTGACTTTTTAATTGTTGTTTAATGATTTTTTTACAGTCATATTTAATTATTTTTCCTTTATATTAAGACTTAATTAAACTTTATATTGTAAAGTTTAACGTGCCATAATATTGTTTACATTGTCAAATATATTATTATAATTATTTTAAATAGGAAAATAAACTAGTGGACAGTCCGATTTCTAGAATTTACTGTGTAAATATTGTTAGAGATTCAGTCTGTCAAATTATTGTTCCTATATTTGTTATAATGCATGAAATTTATGTTTTATTAAAAACTTGAAATACAATATTGTTTTATTTTATATTACGAAATCATTTTCACAATTAAAATATTTAAATTTACAAGAGACGGCTTTGTTTTGAATTGTTAGGTAAAGGTTGTGGGTAAATGGTTTTGATTCAATTCGATTCGATAAAAATACAAATTAAGATTAAAAAACTATGAGGTAATTATTCTTTAGTTTTCTAATTCAATGGTTATTACTGAATGAATTAAAGAAATGTACCTACATTAATTTTGCGATGTTAACTACAATGGCAACGTGGCTGAACGATGCACAAACCTTTGCCTGTCGGATAATAAAAAGTTTAAAGTGATTCAACTTAACTGTCAAATCGTTAAATGCGTAAACTTCGCGGAACTAAAAAATAATTTTTATTAAATAAAGTTTTGCTACAGTAAAAGTTAAGTTTAAGGTGCTATTGAATATAAAACATTAAAATGTGGTAAACTTTTCAAATTACAACGGCGCTAATGCTCAATCACGATATCAGAGAACTGTGATGAAAACTACTTGTTTTTGATATAATGTACTCCGAATTAATATTAATTACGATAATATGTCTTATACACGATCCTCAAATAGCAAACGCTGCAGTCGGCGAAACAGATCTAAACGATTTATCAGAACAACAGCATTCTGTTGTGATTAACAAATGCTGTGAAGAAAACGAAGTTATGGTTGACTCTGTATGCCGACTAGCCAATAAGTATAACCAAAGTAAGTAAAATTTACAGGATAATTACCAGCATAAACATTTCTGTGTCTTGTAACATCTTATTACAGAAATAATTAAGTAATTCTATCATTCAGATATAAAGATTACATTAGTTTTTATCATCTCATAACCTTTAAATTTGACACATCAAACTGGACTGATATTGTGAGTGATACAATGCTACCTAATTTTGTGTGAGGCTAAGTAAAAGTGAGAAGAAAGAGTTAAGCATTATCCAGATTTTAGGGTTATGTGTTGTAAGTTTTTGTGTGTGTTTTTGAATGTCTTTGTTCATTCTAGGTACATGGATACCTAAATTTAAAACGGAAGATGGTAAAGATGCTAAACTGAAATACTTCAAGTATTTAAATGGTGTACCTGACTGTGCTACAACACAACAAAGGCCTATATTCTATTTTGGAAAGTCGGAAGATGAGTAAGTTAATATTTTACTAAAGTTGTGCAATTATTTGCACATACATAAATAATTCTCCATACAGAACAGGCCAAGTTGATAATGACTCTTGAATGAATTGACATCATCTGCACAGAATTAGAAAAACTGTATGAGTAGCCTATGTGATCTTTCAGACTATGTTCTACATCTGTGCCAAATTTAATTATGATCTGTTAAGCTATTCCGGAGATACCTTTCGTCATACATCCATTCATCCATCTATCTTAACTTTTGCATTTGTAATATTAGTGAGATTTCTCTTCCAGGTTAAATTTACTAACTGATGGTAGATTGAGACACCTAATTCATCATGAACATAATGTGGATAGTATCAAGGATGACTCGATAACCAACACATATTCCTTACATGCTCCTATTGTGTTACCTGAAGTTAAAGAGCCATCTTCATATATTCATGATCAAAATAAATACTGTATGGATAAGGTAAACATAATTCTACTTTCTAACACAATTATTTTAAAACATTCAATGCTACAATGATTTTCATGCATCAAAATGATCTAACAGGAAAATTTGATGATTGTAAAAGTTTTTTATAAAGAAAAAATTTGCCTAAACTATATAATTTGGCAATTCAATAATCTCCCAATAGTTTACATGTATTGTAAAGAAAAATATAAGTACATATAATTTTAGTCCTGGTTGCTGTATAAAATTTCTGTAAATCACAAAATATCATCATCAGCTCACTATACATCCCCTCCGAGGGGCTCGGAGCCTACCCTAAATCAAGGGTGACTAAGCCTTAGTCAACCACGCTGGCCCAGTCTGGGTTGGTTGACTTCACACATATCTTTGAATTTCTTCTCAGATATGTGCAGGTTGCATCACGATGTTTTCCTTCACCTTAAGAACGTTGGAAAAATGTACATATGTAAATCGAAAAACACATTGGTACAAGGAGGGATTCGAACCCAGGACCTGCAGATTGCAAGTCAAGTGCTTGACCCCTGAGCCACCGACGCTCTGACAAAATATAAATTGCAAAATTGACCATCAGTGCAAAGGTTTAGGCTGCCCAGAACTACTTGCCATATTGTGGAAAATCTATTCTCAATGTTTACTCTGCTTAGTAGAATCTTTAAAATATTATTTTCATTACAGATATATATGACAAGCACAAACTTAACTGGTGAATATGCATTAGTTTGTGTGCCTGAAGTGAAAATTAATTGGAAAGATACAAGTTTTCTTATGCGGAAGATTTTAAATCCTTTATTCCACGCTATTGCTATGGTGTTATTTTTATTGACAGCTATTATATATTTTGTATTGCCTACATTACGTGATCTCGCTGGTAATATAATAACAAGTATCAATATATGTTTGATTGTCAGTCAAGCGGCAGATTTGGTGCGAATATTTACTGAATACAGTAATCATATCAGTTTCATAATTACAGGTAAGTTAAACATAGATTTGACCAGTTTGAGTCGAACTTGAATAAGCAAGAGTCATTGTCTGGTTCTACATTGGACAATTTCTATAAGCAACATATTCAAGTTACATACAGCTTAGCAAAGAAGAAAAATAAGAAATTTTGCCACAATAAGGGTTAATAATAGTTTCCGTTTGATCTATTTTTTTGTGTGTTAAGTTAGTTTATTTTTGTTGTTTTTATTAAGTTATAAGTGTTGTAATGCCTTTGAAGCAATTAATTTTCTTATTATTATGAAGTAAGAGGGACATCTTTATGAGTAAGAAAAATATTGCAGTCCCACGTCTCTTATTTATCCAGGTTCGACTGTATTCAAAATTCAAGATGATTACTTAGTTTTTGTAAATGTAAAAAGCTCCTATATATAAATTTTTTCTTACAGATATTATTTTATATGTGAGTTTACTGGGTGCATTCTTCTGGTTGAACAGTTTCGGATTTTATATCTGGAAAACATTCAAGTAAGTGCTTTTTAAAGATATTACATGCTAGCGGTAGCCCGCAACTCCGTCCGCAAGGAATTAAAAAGAAACTTAATGGCAGGCTATGTGTTTTTCCAGAATATGTTCTACATCTGTGCAAAATTTCATCAAGATTCCTTGAGTCATTCCGGAGATACCTTCAAATAAACATCAATCTAAACTTTCGCATTTATAATATTTGTAAAATTAATAAATATTAGTGTATTTTCAAATGAATATTTTATTTGCAGATCACGGAATGTATTTCTAAGAGTGACTGACGTTCGCAAATATTGTTACTATTCGAGTGTGGTTTGGTCTAGTGTTATATTAATGACAGCACTTGCCATTTCTGCACATTTCCTACTGGACACCGGAACTAATCCATACAGAAAGACTCGAACGCAATTCTCATCGTCTATCCTAATTGATGATGTGGAACAAGAAACTATCGGTAAGAATCATCAATTTTAATTTAACACTACTATACCTTATTAAATGCAATAAGCCTATGTGTTCTTCCAGACTATGTGCTACATCTATGTCAAATGCCATACAGATCCTTTGAACCATTCCGGAGATACCTTCTAATAAACATCCATCCATCCATCTACAGATTTCAAATATTAGTAAGATATTAAAGTTTTTTTAACTTCATATGTTATATTTCTAGGATGGCTGGGTATAGCAATATTTTTCACACCCGTTGCATTTACAATTCTGTTTAATATATTCTTCTATATAACAACGCTCAAAGTAATTAAACGGATCAATATTTATGGGAGGATTCACTACAAATTGAAGGGCTGGTAAGTTATTTTCAGATATATTCGATTATAAATAATAACTAATTGCCTAAAACAATATTGGATAGGATTTAGCCAAATTTGCCCAATGTTGGACAAAGTTGGATAAGATTTAGCCAAACTTGCCCAATGTTGGACAATATTGAATAAGATTTAGCCAAACTTGTCCAATGTTGAACAATATTTGGTAAATTTTGGACAATACTTGACCAATGTTTGGATAACTTTGGGAAACAACTCAAATCACCTTTTTATTTCAGCTTTAACTTGTTCCTTCAGTTATTCTTAATAATGACAACGGCCTGGCTATTTCTGCTTCTATCATGGTTGAACTTTGATGGATTGATATATGCACATATTGTAGTAAATTTATTGCAAGCAATCTTAGTATTCTACGTATGTGTTGGCCATCAGTCGCATGTTACATTTTTATTGAGGAAAAGTTGTTGCTACGCTGAACCAGTGCCCACCGGAGAATGGGGAGATGAAATGACTCATATGAACGGTGGTAATTATTAAAAATATCGAATCTCGTATATATTATGCAACATAGTAAAACTATATTTAAATACATAGATTGATTTTACATATAATGCTCAGATTTTTTTAATATATAAAATTTCATTGTATTCGGTTAAACAGTTTCCGAGTAGTGTGGTTACTGCCAACTACTAATACTAACATTGTCATATGAGAATTTTATATAAGAGAAAAATATCTTTAGATATCCATTCTACAAGTTTTATTATTAGAACAAATGAAACATAGAAATAATAGCTTTTTTTTCATTCTTCAAATCTAATACTTTGTGTTTGCTGACTCTACCTGATTTTTTAATCTCTTTATCTATTTTTAGACATTTATTAATTACAATCCTTTGGACCGAATGCGCTTTCGCTACAAAGTCAAGTGTCAGAATGATTAGTGAGGGGACAACAACATCGACATTTTAGTAAGACTAGTGTTGTGCCAGTACACCGGCACAGTGTCGGATTTCCTTTCTAACACTATGTATTTAAATTTAGTTAAAGTTTGAATCAATAGCGTAGTATATTGTGATTAAAATTCAAATTATATATTTAATATTGAAGCACTATATGCAAAGTATTTGTGCCTTATTTAAAGTGGCTTACAAGTTTTTAATCTTGATTGTGTTCAATCATGTTGAAAAAAAAATTACTGCCAACATATAAAAAAGCATATGTTCATCTCTGTCATATTTATTCAAAAAACTGAGATGAGATGAGAAATATGCGTTTATATTTTGGCAGTGATAACTACGAGCTTGATATTAAATTGGTATTTTATCTAAAATATACTATATAATTAAAACCTCCAAAGGATAGAATAAATTCATTTTAAAAAGTTATAGTCGAAAACTTTTTTAATTTGTTAAATATAAGAGAATTTATTTTCTATTATTTAATTTGAAAATAATCTTACGTAAAATCAATTTATATTTGTGATATAAATTTTATTTGCTCACAAAAAGATACTTAATTAATTAATTAATCTAATCAAATTTGACCAAAATTAAAATAAAAAAAAAACTAACTCCATATCATATATTAAATTGTATCGAATAATAATGACATAAAAAAAACTGAACTGGCTAATATAGTGTTATTAATAAGACTGGTAAATATTTATAAAGATATATTTGTCTGTCCGTCCTCTGAAATAAAGGCAGCTAATAACGGTCTAATATAATCATGAATTTTAAAATGTGTATTTAAACACTATTGCTGGCTCTATTTTATTCATAGAGAAGGACAAGGATAGCATTTTGTCGTACTATAGATTCTTGTCTATGGAATCTCATCATAAACGATATTATGATTGCTCTCTGACACTAACAAATATTATAATTTTTATCATTTTTACATTTTTTACTTTTCCAATTTATTTTTATATTATACAAGCAGTTTTAATGAATTTATTCTTTGTATAGTAGTTATAAGTAAACTGAATCAAATAGCTTTTAGTATTGTTTAATGCATTAAATTTAATTGTATTATATTTGTGTTTTATTTAATCACCAATTTATTTCCCTGACTTCCTAACTCGAAAAAATCTTAGAAGTGGTCTAGGCGTTCTTCTACACAGTATTATACATCCATGATTTTGATCCATGTAGCCGTTCTGGAGATACTTTCTAACATATCCATCCATACAAACTAGTATTATTACCCAGACTAGCAAGAAGAAAGATGTTATGAATATACCTGTGCCTTTTTTTATATTATAAGTAGGTAAATGAGCAGGGCCTTTTAGTGTTAAGAGTGTATCAATGTATTGTAGACCGGTCAAATAGATCCTACATAACTTTTTATAATCCATAAGTATTACGTTGCTAATGTTAAACCACATAGTAAAGGCTTTCATAGGGAACAGCAATTGTTACATTGCAACGAAATTCAATGTTTTATTATTAGTGCGGCAATCAATTGATTTAAATCGCTAATTAAATTTTTCCGTTTGGCATGTCACTCCGAGTGTTAGCTAGTTTTATATTAACGTTAGTTAATGACATTAGATGGCGTGATTTGCAATTAGTAACGACATCTATTGACTAGTGGCAGACTTATAGATGGCGTGCTTTGCAATCAGTAACGACATCTATTGACCAGTAGTAGAATTATAGATGGCGTGCTTTCCAATCAGTAGCGACATCTAGTGACCATTTGCAGACATAGATGGCGTGCTTTGCAATCTAACGACATCTATTGACCAGTTGCATACTTCAATAAATATTTTTTTGTTATGAAAACGTTTACACGTGCACTTAATATCAACAAAAATTTATCAATAAAATTATTTAACCATGCGACAAAATAAATTCACTTACCTGTGTAAACAGCTGACCTTCAGGGCGTCTTGTGAGAGCTGAGAGTTGACATCTCACCACTAGATGGCAGTCATCCATCACGGTGTTGAAAAAACGGCGTGTAGGCAACAATGCTTCGAGATCGATCATCAGCTCTAAGAACCGCTCGCAGTACCTGAATAAAATAAATGTTTCAAAACAAAATAATCACCTATACTTTTTTCATTCAGTACCAGCCAAATGTTAGAGATCGATGACTTATGAAGTTTAATATTAGAAAAGGGCATACTAATTTTGATAGAATTTGTACAGTTACATTGTTAAGAAAACAGGTTTATACCATGCATGTTAAAGTTTTGTCAGATTAATGTAACATTCCGCACTAAGTTCAAGATTCAACAATACGCTGAATATCTTACCTCACAACATTAGGATCGACATCTTCAGTCTCAGGTACCGTCTCTAAAATCTCCATGAACTTGATCATCAGCCGCTGCAGATAATGCCGCTCCCAGTTCAACTTCTCCAACATTTCAGGCTTATCCTTCTTCTGTATTGCTCTCCAGTATTTCTTCCATTTAGGTACCAGTTTGAACTCTTGATTTCTTCTACCTAAAATAGTTGTACAAAACAAATTAATCTACAATTACATTAATACATAAAAACATATATATTTATGTTGCCTTTTTAAACTGTTAAAGAGAAAGGAATAATAGAAATGAAATATATTATTTACTGTGAGTTTTTAATAGCAAAATTTCTGTTTAAAACATATCTCTGTTTTAACAAATATAATGACAGGGACGACAATATATTTCATACAAAGATTTTGGTCTTGGAAACTCACAGTTAGAAACATACTGCCACACTCAAAGCTATTTAAGAGGTCTAAGGAGTCCCTTAGTAAAGATTTCCTATTAATAGTGACGGTTGGTTTAGTATCAGAATGCATATATCTTTAAAAATTATCATAATTTAATACTATAAGTTAAAAACTCACCTTCTTGCAAACTAATCCACATACTGAGAGATACAAGTCGCTTAACCTGGTCTCTACAGATTTGTACTTCCATACTACCGAAACAATGGTTGAGGAACATCAGGAGTGCTGTTTGCTCACGCATGTTCTGACTACTTCTGTCATTTGCCACACTCGCACGGAGAACTTGCTCGAAAAACCCTGGGAAGTGTTCGGGCTTCTTCAAGAATGCCTGGAAATATAACATATTATTAATATTACAGAAGTAATAAGGAGGAGTAGTAGTACACACTGAGCTGTCCTGTCATAGTCATAAGGACAGGTTGATGACCCATATTAAATTAGTTATTTTTAGGATTCTGTACTTTGAAAGGAAAAACAGAACCCTTATAGGATCACTTTGTCGTCCATCCAACTGTCTATCAAGGCCTTTTTTTTCAGAAACATGTATCAAGTTGGAATTTATTAATCATTGATCCAGGAATAAGATCTTAAAATACAACGCACACATAACATATTGTTTGTTAGTTTACAAAAATTATATCCGTTTTATAGAAATACAGACCTGCCACGCCTGCACTCTCTCGCGAAACTTCTCGTTTGTCATAACAATAATTGACATCATATGAGCATGGCTCGCTTCTCCAGTCTTATAATGAGGCCATAAATAATTCTCTAAATATTGAGAAAATTCCAACATCATGATTCGACGGACGGAAAAGCTGTAAACAATATTAATTATTTGAATAACATGTATACTAAATGAATGAATGAAACATAAACCAAACTATTATTTTAAATAAACTTTCTCATTAATACAAATTTTTCGTCACTAAAATTCATTTAAAAAATAACACTATTTTTTGCAGTTACTTTAAAAACTATTTTAATGGTATTATTATTTCACAAACTCTTTAAGAAACAAAAGAATAGCAGAATTGTAATTTTTATTTAATAGAAAATAAAACAATTTTAAAACTGTCACATTTAAAAATATAGAGGTCAATGCACTCCAAAAGGTCATTGACCTTAAAAGTGTTCAAATGTTTTAAATCAGTTAGGCTGAGAAATATTGAAAGTGAATGTGTTATTTATAATATTTTTGTTAAATTTGTATAAAACTTACTAAGATCCAAGGATCTCCGTATGGTAGATAGATTCCACAATTGATGCATCATAAGGTAAGTGGTTGTCCTTCGTTTGTGGTGACCAGTACTGTTGAGCAAGCTGTGGAAAATGCAACCATGTTGATTTTTAAGCCAATTCAATGAGCAATGTTACCTAGATTTTATGAGCTCCTATATTTGTATAACCAGTTGGCTACTTGGAAAGTATATAAGAGATAAATTTTATTAATTAACATACATTTATTACTAATTATCGCCCGCGAGTCTGTCCACCCGAAATAAAAAAAACTTAATAGCCTATTCTAGTCCTTCCTAGCTATGTTCTACATCTGTACCAAATTTCATCAAGGTCAATTGATCCAGAGATATCTTGTAACAAATATCCATCCAAACTTTCGCATTTATAATATTAGTAAGATTAAAAGCAAAACCCTTTTACTGGAATGCATATTGTTATCAAGTAGTATGACATCTATATCCTAATAATAAAAATAATAAAATGGATTGGATAAAAGGACTAAGGGTTTTTGGATACATATGATTAATAAGGCTTAGTTATTTAGTAGGCGGTCAAGTAATACATTATTTACTATATGTGTAGTGATCACCACATAAATTAAGCCACACATTTTTTTCATCAATACTCAATGCTTTGTTAACAATGTAGTACATAAAGTTCCGCACTTCCATACATTAGTTTACATTAATTTTATTTTTGGTCTTTCACACTTCTTAAAAATAATCAATGCATTTATCTTGTATTATGAATATTTCCGGAATAAAGAATGTTATACGGTTCAAATATACAGATATTAGTCGTAAAGATATTTTCTTGTTTTGCCTATAGACTTCTTAATTTGTTTTTAGATATTGCCTCCATCAATTACCATCATCAAACTTAATAAATATGATAAACATTTTACAAGTACTACAGACAAACAAAACTATTCTCTTTTACACTAAGTCTCTT